AGCAAGTTGCGCTGAATCTTAAGGTTGTGGGTCCTGCTGGCCGGTTGTGGCAGGCCTGGCCTTGGGCTTGGCGGCGTGGCCGCCCTGGGGGGGGCGGGCCCTCAACCCTAAACCATGGCACAGCGGGTAGCTTTAAACATTACTTTGCAAACATAAACACATATCAACAACATTCAAAACATTTAAACAAATCACAAAAACCATAAGCCCCTATACAGGCACGTTTTGGACAACATTTATGCGTTCTGTTTAATTTCGCTTTTATTGCAACATTTACGTTGTTTGTTGTTTTGTTTTTGCGTGGGTTCCATTTCCAGGCACAAGGTTGGTAGCTGGGTAGGACCGACCTCAGCGAACTGAGCACTCTGGAAAACCAATCCGAATACTCGAGAGACTTTGTTCCTGGCTGCAACTCACAGTGGTCAAATCAAATAGCAGCAGCTAGCAGCTGGTCAGGCACCTAGTCCCAACTGCTCAGTGTGAATAGATAGCTTGGTTTACCATGGTTTACCTGCGGTTAGCCACGCCAGTACATCAAACCTGCAGCTACGCAACAGTCAAACAGTTGCTGTCTCTATTGTATCGATGGATCAAAGCAGTCAGTCACTAATTTCAGGCCCCCAAAACGCAACGGTTCTTTGTCTGGGAGGACACCCAGTTTTGTTTCAGTAGGGGGATCGGACTTTTTGGTCAAGAACCTTTCAACTAAACAAACAATTGAAAAACAAAACGAAAAACCTCAGTAAACAATAATAACAAAGAAAATTGAAATAAACGACAAACACATATTTAAAGCATGTAGCAAACACTAAAGACAATAAATGAAAATCAATGAAATTGGGACATTTCAAACCAACAAAAGTTACAGACATGAAAATACAAAGAACATAACATAAAACAAAAACACGTATTAAATACGCGCCGAGGCTAACATTTTAACTCGCAATTCTGGAGGGTCTCAAATAGCGTGATTATAGACACCTCTCTAAATATTGTTCATCCACCTCATGCTGCGTTCATCTCTAACTGTTGCGTCAATCACGCACATTGTGCTGTTTATGGTATATATTCACTCTATATTTCGACACCCTGACACATGTAGTATAGTTTCAAGGGTGTTGCAAAAATCCTACAATTCTTGCAAGTTGCACGTAAGACATAACTAAACAATTTGTACGGGTGTCCAAAAATAAAATGATTAGTTATTATAGTTTATTATAGACATTTCTCTTTTTCATCCACTTCATGCTGCATTCATCTCTAAGTCTTGTCTCGATCATACACATTGCGTAGCTTATTGTGCATAATCACTCCATTTTTCGACCCCTTTGAACATGTACAATTTCAAGGGGGTCCAACGACGCATGCAAAATGCAAGTGGGACATAACTAAAGAATGTATCAAAGGGTCCAAACATAGAGCGATTGTAGATACTTCTCTTACCCTCTCTCTGAGAGCCACTGGTGTGGGCGGTTGTTGTCGCGAAGCGACTTGAATAACCCTGTATTTTACAGGATCAGCTCTAATAGCACTAACTACCTAGCTAACCCTGTAGGTCTGGTAAGCGTACCTTTTGTACTCTACCTTGAGAGTCCACGCTACGGGGTCCATGGGGATGAGGTGAATTTCAACACCCCCCTTTACAAGGAGCTACCCGTAGGGAAAATCTCGGGAGGATCAAATTCTAGCGACGAAGGAATCATATTAGAAATCCCGCATCAGGCAATCCTGTTAGGGATGCATTACTGCGTAAGACAACGCGGTGAAACATCATCTCACTGCGGGTCAGAAGGTGATCTCCATCTCAACACTCATGGGCTGTATGGCATACCAGTTATGGTAGCTGTTCAACATGTTCATTTCAATAATGCCCGCAACCAAATCGCTCTGTATCATCCTGCCATTTTCCATCCACTGACGAAGCTCCATGTGATTGGGCCAATAGTTGTCGGCCCATGGATCTGTACGCTGCCATTGCACCCCTGGAAAATCAAAAGGTTACAATGGTCGCTCATCTGTGCCTTGCGCTGTAGGCTGCCCAGTTACGGGAGCGTGTGAGGACGACGAGGATGATGGAGCTCCTGACGGTACTGGTGGCGGCGGCACATTGTGCAAATGCCATGGCTGTGCCTCGTAGGGACCTTCTCGAAAATGTCCTCGTTGCTTGCCTTTGCCCTTTCCTTTTACGGAAGGTTGCAACCGATCGGCTTCGGCGTCAGGTTGAAGTCCGCTGGTCTCGTGTGGACTGGAACGCCGCTGGATGTATTGGGTGGAACTTTCGGTGGCGGTGGCCTCGATGGTAGCCGTTTTGGTGCCGGTGATAAACCAGCCGTCGGTGGATGAGCTGGTGCCGGAAGTGGAGGCGGTGATACGGGAGCTTGTTTCATTGGCAGTGGTGGTGGATAGTTTGGTGGCTTTGGGATTTGCGGTTGAGCTGCTGGAACTGGCGGTGGCGTGTGCAGTGGCGGACCAATGAGGTTCTTTGGGATGTTGCCTCTTCTGGGCGCCCTGTACTCAGGGAGGAAAGGAATTGCGCGGCCGACGGAACCTCGCGGCTTCCTTTTTGCGGGAGCTGGAAATTCTTCTGTAGTAGAATTACCTCGGCCCTTGCCCCTGGGGGCAACATTCTGTGTTGACATCCCGTTTAGGGAAGTCTTCCTTTGGAGACGCTGATTCTTGAGCAGCAGGTTGCGGTGGCCTGTATACACCGATGACGTATGCGTCCCAGTTACGGGAGCTGGTGGTTTTGGCACACCAGGCGGAGGAATCCTATCATCAGTCCATGATGCGAAGCGACCAGATTGGTCCCGTTCTTCTTTCTTCCTCCACTGTAATCTTGGTCTTTAATCAGCATCGTCAACACCTTCATTGTAAGACTGCGGACGCTTTCGCGTCAACGGCGGCCTAGTTACAGGCGCCTGAGGAGACGGAGAATCTCGCTGGCCGAATTCCAGCAATAGCTGTTCCAATCGCAGAACTTCATACGAAGTCATATCCTGACCACAATCCGCAAATTTTGGAATAGGTGTGGCCATACGTTGTTCAATGTTAATAAATCCTGTCCAATCGATTGCCCGCGATCTCGCTCCTGCATGTTGGCTGACTGCTGGGCATTCCGCTGGTACTGCAAATTGGCAAAATGTTCATTCTGTTCCGCAAATTCACTCAAAATTTTGTAAATGCCCATCGTGTCTCCACGAGGAATACGGATGCTATGAATGTCACCGTAGACGTCGTCAGTGGGAATAAAACCCTGGATCTTGAGCTCGTTTCGGCTGTTGCCAATTACGGCAGCAAATTGTCGAAGGGATAAAAATTCGCGACGGTAGCTAATGAGGAAATTCTCGTCGAGCCCTTGCTTGAAACAGGAATGAAGGTTGTCGACACCGCGTCGAATGTACGCGAGCTTGGCAAGGTCGACTCTGTCTTGTCGGTCCAAATCGCTGACTACTGACTTCCCTTTCGATCGCTGTTTGGCGGATCGAGAAGGTGCTGGCAGTTGCAGCGACGCAAACAAGTCTTCCTGAGCTGCGTCAAACGCAGTGTATCCCTCTCCGGTTAAGGAGGTGGCGAAGACATCGTCGCGATTGAACCGATCATAAACATTTTCATACCCTGCTATAACGGGTGTTGCGCTTACCTACTTAGGGCCTACACTTATAAATAAGCTAAGGGAAGTTTTAAGTTCATCATCATCTGAATTTATAAAACACCTTTCTAACAAGAAGGTAAGTCATAAGTTTTCAACGGTTTACAAGTTACATGTGTCTAGATGATGACATTATAACCATACTTGTGTAACCTCAACAAAGTGTGGACAAGTAATTTCCATATACATATAAGTTGCCTGTAAGTTCTGCGCGATGAATCATTTTCAAATGCAACCGTGCTCGCCTTTTTGCTCATCCATGTGCGTGGCTCACCCGCACGCATGTGGCTCGCCCATGCCGGTTTTGCGCTCGCGAGGTCTTCCCGCGATGGCGGGGCGTACGGGAGAAGCCCATATGGGACCATTGAGGTTACCCAATGGCGCCGGAACGCTCACAGCCGCAGATAGAGATGCGATTTGGAACCAGTTCCATGTGAGCGCAAGCGTTCGCTTCCGAGCGCAGTGGGGGGAGAGGTGCCTATCTCTCAGCGGCCCCCCAGGTGGAGGATGCCAAGAACATGGCACATTTTGATCACAACTGGGAGTTGTGCGGTGGGAAAAGGAATGCGTGACCAATCAAATGTATTGAACGGGTATTAATTTTAGAGTTATTGTAAAATGGTTTACCCCATTGACGACCTCCCCCTGCGTCCAGAAATCAAGAAGGCTGATGGTGTTTCTAAACTCTCTGGACTTTAATGGGGTGGTCATGGAACAATATTGAACAAAGTTTGGCATGGTCACTGCATAGACTATCCATATTGGATTTGAATCTTCAATGGACATTAACCAATGTTACTGTGATTGATTTGGTTGGGTGGCAAAAATGGGGCGTATCAGGGGCGTATCAGGAGCGTATCAGGGGCGTATCAGGGGCGTATCAGGGGCGTATCAGGGGTGTATCAGGGGGTACTGAGGAAGTGTCATACATATACTCATATATATATATATACACATATCATATATGTTATAGTTCACTGATGTATGAAATCTATCCCAAGTAACCAAAAACGAGAATATGTTTGGGTGCAACACTTGGCACTAACATGGAACGGTGACTAGCATTTAGTTCAATGAACTTTCAACTCTGTTAGGGCGAGCCTCCACAGTTTGGCTGGGCGAGCCTCAGCCATGAACTCAAGTAAACAAATCTAAAATGCTCTAATAGATTTGTTCTCCAACAGAGCCCTTTCTGCTTTGGCTCTGGTGGGATCTGTCAAGATCTTACAGTTTCAGGGCCAAGAAAGATGGCCAAAAAAAGGACAAGGCATTTTCATGGAGAGCATCTGGGGCAACTGAGGCCTGGGAGCGTTTGCGGGAATATGTCACCGCTTAGATGGCAGAGGCCCGCCCTGCGCAGGGACTTCGAAGCTCATGGGGACAGAGCGCGCGCAAAAAGAATGACGCGATGCGTGTGTTTGGGCGAGCCTCAAAACATGTTTTCGGGATGTTTTCGGGCGAGCCTCAAAAGTTTTTGCAAACAAAGAAGTTCAGCACCCTTAGTGCCTTTTGTATTTTTCACTTTGTGGTGACATTTATTGTTTTTGCGGTGACAAAAACAGGACAACGTGGGGAACTTATAAACACGATAAGTTCAGTTAATAAATGCAGTTAATTAGTGGTTACGTTCTACTTATAATATTAGTTATAATTGGATAAGCGCAACACCCGTTATAGTGCTTTCAATGCTCGGCGAAGACGGCTTCGTGCTGAAAGAATCATTTGACTATCAACCGATGGATTGCCACGAGCAGGAGGTTGACCTGGTTGTAGATCTTGTCCGGCAACGCTGTCAAGCATGCTGGTGGACGTCATATTGGTGGGAACACCCCCCTGCTGTTGCACCGTCTTTTCACGTCGCATCTGTAATCCCATAAACATAGACATAGGACCATCAGTTGAACCACCCTGAAAGACCGCTCCGCACCTGTGACATGATGCCATTCCTGCTAAGGAAAGTGTTGCGCACTTGTCGCAACTGAACGTGCGGAGGTGCATGGAGGAAATACCCGCTCTCAATTCGAGGGACTGCGGTATCGTTGCTGGCCTCCATGTTTCTTTCTTGATGGCACTGCTTGCAGCTGTACGCTCCTCAGGTGTTGTTTCATTGGTACCTTCCAGAACGGTACGCACCTCTGAAATTTCACCCGGAATCAAACTCATGTCGTCCTGTTGAGCCCCAACCTCAATGTTCGCTGGATCAATAGCTTGTGGCCTTGAATAGAATACTTCGGGCTCCGCATTTACGCGGGCGCGTGTAGCGAACAAGATACAGGTGTTGGGAACATGATGACTTGTAATCATTGCATTTGAGTTCGTCAAGAATAGGTCGACGCCCGCCTCGATAATTTCTGCTGTAGAAAGACAAATTTCGACGGGTCGATTTGCACGGACACCTGGCATCGCCTTCTGGTCGTCTCCCAGAGGTAGTATGGAGAAAAAGGAGTTACCCTTGCTCTTGGGTCCGCCGGCTCCTCCTCCAGGAAGTAGTCCCTTTGCAATGATAGAGCGCGCCGCTTCCTCGTGTGTCCTTTGGTATAGTCGAGGAGGAATATCGCGGTTGCCATGAGCTGTTAGTCGCCGATTGTATCGGTGGGCATGGTCTGGTCGGCAATAGATTATTGTTGCTAGAACTTCGTTTGAGCGTGTTTCCAACACGTCATCCGTATGCCCCTGTCCACAGCGGACCTTGACCGGTGCTGCCCACAGCTCGAGCTCTTCATTGATCTTCGAATCATACACGCATAAAAATTCAACGCGATCTTTGTCATCGTAAATTGCCATTGAAATCAACTCATAAATATTGAAGCTTTCTGCATAGTCGGGAAATCTGCTCTTCGCAATCTGCAACAACTTATATACAGGAAGGTAACAAGCGGGATCGTAGATCGAAACATCTCTCACGTGTCCCCTCAACAATCCAGAAATCCCTCTACGGATGTGTTTGGGCCACGAACAATCCCACTCCCACGGGAAGCCGTGGTTGTCTTCGTATTCATAGTAATACCTGTGTCCTGTGATGTGGTGCAGAGTATAAGAAATTGAATGTTTCCATTGCCGATGGCCTTCAAGAGGTGGTCCGGGTAAGGAGACTTGCCAAGGACCTCTTCGATTTCGACCTGCATGTTTTTGTACTCAGGGTTGGGATTGATCTCACGAATGAGTCTGCCCTTCCCCTGTCCGGAAAACTTCAGGTCGGAATCGTCGTTGTCCTCTGGTTTCATGCCCCTGTCCCTTTCCCCTCAAACGAGGTAAAGGTGGTCTTGACGCGGAAGATGGCGCTTGACCTGTAATAGGATCGTCGCTTGTCTCAGGGACCATTTGGGCATCTGCCTCATCACCTTCATTGGCCATTGCTTCGTCTGCCAATACATCCAATACCTGGGCCTCGATTTCCATCGCTTGTTGATCTTGTTCTGGCTTGGGTGGCAAGGCATTTACGCCTGCAGAGGTTGTAGCGAGCCCGGGTACTGAATCATCGGTCTCCATGTTGCTGTCCGGTAAAGCAGCGCCCTCATCAGTCTCTTCAACCTTCGGCTCGACATTTACGTCGGCTGTGGCGCCTTCGATCATCTCTTCATCTAAGGCGGCCTGCTCTTCCGGGAGCTCCACGAGGGGAATGATGTTGACATACTGTAGCACTTCTTGTGGATCCTCGCCTTCCAGATTAACGGAGGCTCGCAATTCGTCAACAGAGACGTCATTGGATTCGAAAGGGCTAAATGCCTGAATCTCTTCAATGGTGAACTGTCTGCTTTGACCCACGATGTGCTTGAACCTCGCCATGCGCTGCTCCGCAAAATCGCTGATGAGCTGCAAATATGAGTCGGGGACCTTGACGGTTTCACCGGTTTCCCAACTGTACCGAAACCTTTTCACTCTGTTCAATGCGGCAATTACCTCTCGGGAAGCTTCAACGACATTTGCGTGATATGACAGTTTCACGAGGGAGACGAGGTAGCTAACAAATCGATCAATGTTTTCTTGTGTCTTCCTCAAGTGCCAATTGTCAACTGAAAGATAAGGTTGTCGGGTTGGAACCGATGAATACCAAGGTCCTCGATCACGGCATTGATTTCCGCCCAAAAATCATCTATACGAATGAGGGCAATTCGTATAAATACGAAGAAATACCGCAAATGCACCAAAGCTCATCTGATATTGCTTTGCAATCGGCTAACCGTTTAACGTTGCCTATAAAATTCGCGCGCGGGTCCCGACCGGATCGGGGTGAGGGTTCTCGTAGCGCCAAGAGTGGTCGTAGGCGGTGATACCGTTGCGGCCAACGAGATCGTTGCCATTCCACCAAATCATTCCAAATATCCGTGGTGTATCACGTGCTGGATCTCGAGCTGTAAGATGGGCTCTCGCATTTACGCGAGCAACAGCAGTGATTCATACTCCCTCATAAGTCGAGGGAGGTCAGCACCCCACACAATTTTCACTTTCACTTCAACAAAATCCCAATCTCTGCCAAATGCGATCCTGATCTCCTCGACGGGCTCGTAGGCGGTGCGACTGCGCTTCCCATTAAGGAAGCAGAGGACCGAGTCCGTGACAATGATGGTGGCCTTCCGGCGTTGCGTTTCCGCAAGCACATTGAGGTGGCCGAACATCGAGGGATGTAACGTAGTCAGGCCTCGCATTGCATCTGTGAAAATATAGTCGCTCACCCAACAATCATATAACATCACAGGGTATACCGCCCTCAAAAGTTCGACAAGCTGATCGTGGTGTTGCTTTGAACCCTCTTCCGTCAGCATCATACCCTGATAGACTGCATACGCAATGAACTTGGTCCAGCAAGTCGTCCTCGTTGATGTCACGGGACTCTCCCATGGCTTGGCAACCCGGTGAAGGGTGCTTGTCGAACAAGGATCGGACTGTTTGACCTAAGTGGTACCTCAGTCAGTGAAGTGTGGCGGCAAGTTGTGGCGTGGTAGTTGTGAGTGATAGTGTGAGTGTGGGTGTGAGTGTGTGTGTGTGTGAGTGGGTATGGCGCGCGCAGCATGAACAACAGGAACCTTAGTACACGGCTGAGCGAATTCACGTTGACCTAAGTTCTTGAACATAGTATGGATCCTATCTGTCAGCCTAAACGTGTAACCTTCAGCTTCCCTAAGTGCTTTGCCCCTAGATTGTGCACGCTCATGCTGTCCATCACACCTAAGCTGTTCGAGAGCAGCAAACGCCTCAACGTCGGATGAAATTGTCCAACCCTTTTTGATTGGTGTACCATGTTCATCCGTCACCCCAACTTGACAGCCATGGAGCTTGTAGTCGACAAGTCTGTACTTCTGTTTAAAACGTTTAACACTCTTCCACTTCCAATACTCACATAATGAAGGAAGCTCAAAAGAAATGGGAGGGGAAACAACAGAAATACCTTCAAGGAATTTGTCAACATTCTTGAGGAGGGTAGCGAACTTCTTTTGGTGTTGCTGTATCCTCTCCTTTCCTCCTGGCAAGTCCTTGTTCACATTGTTCCATGGGCATCCTCCAGTACATGGAAGTGAAATGTGGATGTGGACGTTGCATTTGTGATTGTCCTTCCAAAATTGCATTGTCTTTTGTATCATTTGATCAACACATTTCCTTGTCGCGGCGTCCTCACTTTCAGTAACCCTAAAAACAGCACATCCTTTTGAAGCAGCTCTTGGTTGACCAAGTTTGGAATCAGGTGAACAGCACCATTCAACCATGAGTCTCATTCGTTGTTTAGGTTGCTGATTGGGCAGTGCGTTACCCCCCTGATCCAATGTCAGAATTCTCAGGGGTTGAAATGTCGAAGTACTGCACAGGATCGCCCCTTGAGGGCGTCACGGCGAAGGAATTACCCTTGCTTTGTGGTTTCTTGTAGGTGTAAGATACCATATTTAACATATAAAGTGCGGAATCCCACCTTTGTGGTGAAGTAAATGGCTTAGTAAGAACATCAGCAGCTTGATGAAGTGTATTCACATTAATTAAATCGAATTGGTCACTATCAAACGTTTCTTTCAACCAACTGAATGAAACACGTTGCGTCCTATCGGTGTGTCGCATATTAACGGAATTACCGTTGGACAGAATAGTAATGGTAGCTTGGTTGTCTTCCATGAATCGAATGGTGAAGCGTGGTCCTAAACGAATCTGAAGATGGTTGACATTAGCAACACTTTCGGGACCATTATGGAGAAAACCGTACCTAATTTCGTCCAACTCTGGGTCAGTCCGGGCGACCGACACGGGTTCATGCAGAGTAGGCGCCTTCGGCTTGGCAGCTACGCCAGCTCGTCGCGTCTTGGCCTGAGGCGGACACTTGGGATCGTTCATAGCTATTAGATAACTGAAGAGCGATAGCGAGGGAAGGCCCTGAGCACGAACGGCGTGGTTG